TGCATACGGATTTCCTTGACCCTAGAGTGGAGGCTAAGGTCTGAAAGGGCCCCTGGGGTGAATGGGAACCTAAGAGGACCGTGCAGGGAATGGGCTTCTGTCCCAGAAGCGGCAGTGACCCACCTGATGCAGCTCTGAGTAAGCTGGCGTGGCCTGTGTATTCCTGGTAACTCTTCCTATCTTACACAGAAGCCACTGAGGTTTTGTGTGTGTGTGGTTGTTTTTTTGTTTGTTTGTTTGTTTTTGAGACAGAGTCTCGCTCTGTCGCCCAGGCTGGAGTGCAGTGGCGTGATCTCGGCTCACTGCAACCTCTGCCTCCCGGGTTCAAGCGATTTTCCTGCCTCAGCCTCCCGAGTAGCTGGGACTACAGGTGCCCGCCACCACGCACAGCTAATTTTTTATATTTTTAGTGGAGACAGAGTTTCACCGTGTTAGCCAGGATGGTGTCCATCTCCTGACCTCAGGTGATCCACCCACCTCGGCCTCCCAAAGTGCTGGGATTACAGGCGTGAGCCACCGTGCTCGGCTACCACTGAGATTTTTTAAGATGGCATTTGTATTGCTATAGAAAGAAAACAAAATAAGAGTTCCTTCCAGGTAACATGAAAACCCAAAGAGATGATCTCTAGGCAGCTTCTCAATCTAATGTGGCAGCAGAGAAGAGGAAGAAACTTACACTATTACATCGAATTTCTCTCTCCGTCTGGACCCTTGCAAAATCATCACTAATTTGAATGCCGCACCAGTGAGGTCAGGATCTAAACTAATATATTGCAGTCCTTGTTAGAATTCATTATGTGACGTGCCATAAGAAAAAAAAAAAAAAAATCCTGTCTGCATTTAGGCTTCTGTTTCTTAAGCTTCAAACATGTAAAAAGGTTTCTGGATCCTGAATTCAGGGACCTGGGTTTTCACACTGGCGCCACCAGGCCAGTGGGTGTGAACTTGAGCAATTATCTTAAATACTTTCGTCTTCATTTTCCTCTCCTATTGAACCAGGCAATGGGATGAGATAATCTCTAAATTAGTTCTCAGTCAAAAAGGGTAACAAAATATGGTCAGCAAAATAAAGCCGTAAGTTCATTCCCATAAAGTGGGCCCCTTAGAGGCTGAGGCCTCCAGGCCTTCTTGCCTGGGCAGTGCCATCCTAAATCACATCAGGCAAATCCACATGCACCCAGGTGGTACATGAGATAGACGTCGTTTTTTTGGCTATAAAATTTTTGAAGGGCTTTCTAATTTGTTCTGAAATTCTCTGGCTATAAGTTGGCCGCTCTGCCTTCTCTGCCACCAACATGTAATCAAGACTAGGGGTTGAGGTCTCCATTTTGGCGCTTGCTAACATTACGGGAGCTGATACCTGGGGGAGCGGCTGGTCTGAATGAGTCTCTCTAAAACAGGGACAGTGGTGGTACCACCGTCACATCACTGGGAGGCTGAATGCAGCAGCCTCTGTGGCTTGGAACCGTGCCTGGCACACAATACATATTCAAAAGAGGACAGGTATGATTCCAATTTAGTCTTGAAATCCTTTTGGAAATGAGAAAACTTTAACCAAAAAAGATCTGTGGCTCCTAAATTTAAAAATTCATGAAGTTGCCATAATGGTGCATTTTTTTTTTTTTTTTTTTTTTTTTTGCCATTTAATTAAACATTTATAAATTTTGATTTTTTTTTCTGGATTTCGTTTTGTTATTAGACCCAGTAAAATTTCTTTTCTGGTATATTTGTGGGCCCTGGAAACACTCTGGGCACTGTTCCTAAGTCACTAATGGGTAAAATGGCCTCGCCCCCAAATGTTGCACTTTGTGAAAAAGTCAGAAAGAAAAATCACATCTGAGTAACATCAAAAGTCAGTGCTTCAGATCTAACATGTGGGTCCTGTTCAGTAGAGGCATGACACAGCCACAGAAGTCTCCTCCACACTGTCCTAGAAACGTGATGTGAAATGCGGCAGGTTTCTTGGGGTTGGAATTCTTGTACTAGGCAAATGCAGTGCATCTCCCAAGGGTGCCTGGGATCTCTCGCTGCAGCCAAGCTTTGCAGGCACAGAAACATGGCCAGCCACCCACTGAATTTCCTAAATCAATGACCAGCACTGGAGACCCTTCCATGGGTGCAAGGCAGCTCCGCCTGCTGCCTGTGTCCTTCGGGGGTCTGATGAGGCAGCCCCGGCCTGGGATGGTCAGACCTTGTCATTGGGTGCCCATCTCTCACGGGGATGGGTGGACCCACCGCTTTCAGATGCATTGCGGTTGGCAGTCACAGCGTCCTAGCACATTAAAATACATCGACGACTCTGCTTTCAGGTAGATTTAGAATTCTTTTCATAACCTAGCCACTTTCCACTTTTCATTTTGAAAAATTTCTCCTTGAGTTTTTTCAAAAGCTTTGGTTTTTGTTTGTTTTTTCCTGTAAGCCATATAACTAGGGAAGGCATTAGTAAGAATTTGATACACTGGGTCTCATGGAACTCCACCACCACCACCAAAATAATAATAGTAATAATAATAATAACAATAGGTTAGCTTAAAGAAGTAGAAGCTACCCCCTTACACTACATCTGCGTTTAAATTCATTTGAGTTCATTGGCAATTTCTGTGTTCTCCTGTTCGTTGCATTTTCTTTTCTTTAAAGGCAACTTTTAGAGAAGGTTTGCTTTTTTTTGGCTATCAAAGTATTAATTATGAAAAGTTGGCACTACAGAAAGGGTAAATCAGGTATTACCTATTACTGTACATTATGGCTATATTATCACACATATCACAAGCCACTGGCATTCAGTTGGATGTGAAATGCCTTTTTTAGAGTATGATTGACACATGGTATATTTTCATCAACTTCTATGTGTAAATTATGCAGGATCACTGGTAAAATTCCTTATTATGAATAGCCAAATATTCTGGATTCATATTCATAAGTAAAAGCCAAGCTAATATATATATACATATATATGTGTGTGTATATATATATACACACACACACACACACACACAAAGTTCTTTTCTGTTTGCCTTTTCAAAAAGTGACGCAATGGAATCAATTTGCCAACTCTCTAGACCCCTATAAAGTTAATTAAAGGCAGTATATTCATTTGGTACTTTCGTGATATACATATACTTTCCATTAAAGCAATTACTGACAAAAACCCAGACTGCTATTGAAATCTTTCAGTGTACTTCCATATACTGAAATGTCAAACATTTGATGCTTTGTTTGATTTTGTATTTGTTTTTATTCACCATGGCTTAAAAGTCATCTTCCGATTATTTAAAATAAAGAGTAAACATTTGAAATAAGTTCCTAGATACTACACAAATTTATGGCCCTTTGGATTTGTTCCTGGTACTACCTTATTTTCACTTACCTTCGAAGTGGTTGTATGATAGTTCTAGTTCATTCATTTGAAAGAACTAGGAGAAATATGCAGAACCACGTCCCACACACCTCTCGGACACTGCTCGCCAGGCATAGCCCAGTGTTTCAAAAGTGAACCAGGGGTCTGGGCACAGTGGCTTACGCCTGTAATCCCAGCACTTTGGAAGGCCGAGGTGGGCCAATTACCTGAGGTCAGGAGTTCAAGACCAGCCTGGCCAACATGGGGAAACCCCGACTCTACTAAAAATACAAAAATTAGCCGGGTGTGGTGGCAGGCGCCTGTAATCCCAGCTACTTGGGATGCTGATGCAGGAGAATCCCTTGAACCTGAGAGGCAGAGGTTGCAGTGAGCCGAAATTGTGCCACTGCACTCCCAGCCTGGGCGACAGAGTGAGACTCTGTCTCAAAAAGTAAAGTGAACCAGGGTGCTCAGGGATCCTCGGTGAGCAAGACAGGAGTTTGGAGCTTCAAGTCCAAAACTGCGTTTCAAGTTTTCCCATGTGTAGAATGGACTGCATGATACCTCCCTTGCTAGGGGATGTGAGGATTAAATGAGATAGCCTGAAAGGCGCGCTAGAGCAGTGGCTGATGGCGTACCTCCAGAGCTGGCTTCCTGATTCAGCCTGGCCTCCCCTTTGGGATCAGATTAACCTCCCCACACTCAGCCTCCTTGTGTATCAAACCAGGAATATGGTATTGCTCTGTTGGGGATTATTGTGCAGATTGAATAAAGTAATTCATAGTAGGGCATAGCACCGTGCTGGGCACAGCAGTGCTCCTTAAATATTAGCTGCTGTTATTAAAGCACGTGCTCTAGACAGGTAGGCCCCTTGACCTTGTCCCAAAGACCTTATGAGAGGAAACAAATGGAATTCTGTGCAAGTGGGGTCCAAATGTTTACCATTGCCAAGTTACTTAAAAAAAAAAAACTTGGCAGATGTGGCCCTCACGATACAGTACAATAAGGGCTTTTTCTCTTTTCCTTCCATGCTACCTATTATTAATTCCAAATACTGCATCACTGAATGGGCTTCAACACATGTATTCCTCATTGAAACATAACCTTGTTAACCATGTTACCCTACTTCCTTGAGGCAGAGGTGATCTTTTTGCAATTAAAGGTTTTATCAAAATGCAGTTCTGCTTAACATGAAGCACCTACGCTGTTGTGTGACCTGCGAAGCTCTTAGCATCTAGAAGCTTCCCCTGGGTCATCTATAAGATGGGAATAATACTATGAGTTCTGCCTACTGCACAGGATTCTTTAGGATACATTGAGATAATATATATCAATGTGCTTTTTAAGTAGTCTGTCATGTAATAGAAAGATAATTAGATAATTTTAAAAATAGAAAAATCTATTGTTTTGCATGCACTGTATTAAAATCTTAGGGATTTTAAATAAAATTAATTGATTTCTTGAAAGTAGATATCATCATGTCTTTCAGGATTGGTGAGAATAAATTAAAGAGAAAAAAATGGAAACGTTTAAATCAGCCCCCACTGTGAATCCATACTTTCAGAAATTTTACCTTTTTCCATTAGCATATCTTCATGTTTTCCCTGCCTACAACTAGATACCCTTTGTAAATGTTGAAAACAAAAGAAGTAACCTTGGCAAATAATTGAGAACTGAGTTTTATTTGAATATACTTTTCTCTTACAAGACCAAATACAGTTTTTCTTCTAAAACTCTGTTATTCCATTTTCTTTCAATGAAATGCTCACGGAACCAGAAGGCTTGGGAAGAGGCTCAGAGCACCTAAGAGTTGCTGAGTCCGTATTCCTTTTTTCCCCTGTGGCTTTTTATATACGCTCCGCGCCTGCGATTTCTGGATTTGATTTCAGGGAGGTGAAATCTTACACCCCTGAGTCTCAGTGCCAGTTTCCCAGGACGAGTCAAAAACTGCAGCTGCTTGGAGGTGAGAATCTTCCAAGGCTCCAGAGGCCAGCTCGCTGTCCTGTTCATTTGCTGACATGCTGCCCGGAGCAGCTTCAGAGAAACCCGTTCTATTCTTTGGGTGATTCAGCCAGTCTCAAAATAAATAGGTAGCCGAGTGCAGGGAGAAAGAACTGGAAACCACTGAAATTTGAGTCTTGAGGGCCAGTCTGTTCTCGGGAGCTGCTCTGTTGAACTCTAAAAGGAATCTTGAGCCCTGGGCGAGGGAGCGGCCTGGTCTGGTGGAAAGCCTGCGGGCCTGCCAGTGGAGTCTATGTCTGGCCCTGCCTAGCTCAGTGAATTTCAGCAGTGTCTCCTCTTAGACCCCCAGGTTCCTCATCTACAGAAGGAGAAAGAAAAGGAGACTGAATGATTTTTAAGGTCTTTATCAGCTTCTAAAAGTTCGATTTGATGTTTGTAGGAGCAATTGTTCTTTCAAAGCACCATCTTCTAACCTCAGGAAAGAGAGCCCAGGGGCCACTGCGGTGTCCTGCCAAGCTGGGAAGACAAAGATGGTGACTGAGGAGGTGGGGGTGGGGCAGGGGGAGAAGGGGGAAGAAGGGAGAATGGATCAACTCACATCCCAGGCCGGGGAAAGAGATGAATGAAGGGCCACGCTAGAGTGACATGCTGTAAGTAGGGGAAATCTTCCTAACTAGAGTTCCCATGACTTTGGCAACATTTGAAAAAAAAAGACATCCTTAAACCCACAAAGTACTCAATTGTCCAAGCCCCAGCATGGCCAACTTCCCAAAGCTGACCGGTCAGAGACCTTGGTGTTAATTCCTCAGCCAACTAAAAAAAGATGGTGTGAGTTCTGTTGACTTAATTGTTGGAGTGTTTCTGAGTGGGGCCGCCTCCCTTCTCTGCCTCCTCGCGGTATTATGGGCTGTTCTGCATTACCTGCCCTACCTATCTTCACAATCTAGCCGCAAACAGCTTCGGTTGACCACACCACTTCCCTATTGAAAGTTAATACTGTTTGACTCATTCTGTGTTACTAACCTGAAGCCAAAGAAAACAAGGCAGAGAATAACTGGCTTGTATGGAGTTTGGAAAGCTCTCGGAGGCCCCGCTTTCAAAATCCTATACAGTAGCTTTACTATATCTCTCCGCGGCAGCTGCTGAGAAAATGAAGGAAGCAGAAGTGGTTAAAAAAGAAGTTGGGGGTGGGGAAGAGACTGGGAAGGGAGTGGTGCGGGGTCCCCCTCTGGCTGGGAAAAGACGGGAGATCTGCGGCAGTTTATGAGGGCTGTCTCTCTGAGCTGAGGTCTGGCTTTGACACACCAGAGTGTTCGCACAGAAGAGGGACTGTTGACGGAGTTAAAAGGAGAGGAAAGTTCAAAACAGTCGTTGAAAAGGCAGCTCTCCTGTTGCCTGTGTAACACAGAGGAGCTGGGAGGCTGGTGGCACCAGGTCAGGCAGCCATAGGCAAAGACTCAAGCTAGTCAGGTCAGGGGGAAGGTGTGTCCCTTTCGAATCAGGAAAGGATTGAGGACGGGGAATGTTGCCGGACAGAAGGCTGTCCTGGGCATCCATCCTTGCCTCCATCCCTGCCCCCATCCCTGGCAAGGATGGAAACTTCCCTTCCTTCATTTCCTAACTGGCTCAGATGTGGTCACCAGGGTGAATAGGAGGTACTAGTGTCTTGGAATAGATAGAACTTTCCCTCCCAATGTTACCTGGCAGATAGTGGACCAGCATCTTTATCGCCATGCTGTGGCTCTTTGGGAGTCTAGGCAAACAGTCACTCACCCATTCAGGTAACTGGTAGAAGAGGCCTCCCTCCTCACAGATGCCCCTTCTCAGCAGGTGGCTGCTTCTGGCACGTGGACAGCGGTGCATAGAAGTGAGCCTGATGCCTGAATGAGGATGTCAGGCCACAAACAACTGAAAACCTTATGTGTGAGGGAGGGCCTACGTTCGACAACTAGCTGCTGTTGGCTTTTGTACTAGTGAGTACTCAGGAGCTGTGAGTGGCCAGGGTGCCCTGGGAAGGGCTTTGCCAGGCCAGCCTAGAACTTCAGTTGGCGTCTGTGACAGGAGAGAGGGTCAGAGTCAGATGCTGTTCCCTGCTGTTGGGAAAGTCCCTGAGGCCCAGCGGGCAAGGCTTAGAAACAGGAGGGAATTTCCTTCCCTCTTTTTAGAAGTACAGAGGAGAGATCATCCTCCACACTGCTGGGTAAGCATTCCAGAATAAATCTAGTCAAGGAAAGGGGCTCACTCATTCATTCGTTGACTCACTCATTCATTCATTTGTCCAGCATTTATGGAGGCATCACCCAACCTTGGAAGGGCCCTGCATTTACCTCTGCCCTGTCCAAACATGCTCAGTGTCTGTCAATTCTGCATGAGATCTGCTGCTGCAGGAGGGGAACTGAGATTCCTGCAGGGAGGTTAGGAGGCCAGTGTGGAGAGCCGCAGTGCTCGTGACATGCTCACGCAGGCAGTGTGTGTGCACCTCCGAGATCTTCTCCTGGCCCCCAGGTCTTGCCTGTCCACCCCAGGGATAGGCCTGCTGATGCCTGAACTCCAAAGCCAGGTTAGAAGCTCCCGGCAGCATTCTGTGAGTCAGTGCTCATCTCTCCATAGTGTGCCACCCACCGCCAACACTTTCTTTCCCTTCTGCAAATCGCCTTCTCTTAGAGTCTGTCCCTGGGCAGGAGCTACTCTGATCAACAAATCCATGTCCCTGGTGGTTACCACCATCTGGTTACTCTTCAGTTACACTGTAACTGGAGGTTTCCTTGAGATAAGACCTTAACCTAGGGAGGATTTCTAATAGTTGGGATTATAGGCTGGTAGAAGAAGAAACACCTTGAACTTGGGAGCTGTCTGCACCCCTTTTAGGAAGCTGCCTCCACTTCCCGCACGAGGGCTACCTCTGGTCAAGAGCAAAAGCCAGCAGGCGGCTTCTCTGCCCTGAGCTCAAGTTACCTCCTTAGTCACGAGACAGAAATGGACAGTGAGCCCTGGCGACCGGGGATGCAGATTTAGAGTTTTGAGTGCTCTGCTTTTAGGAGAGGCCCAAGTCTCCAAGAGCTCATGTGAGTGGGCGAAAAACTCCACTACTCATGGCAATGAGCCCTGGACTCAGAGAACAGAGTTTTGTCTGGGTTTTTGTCCCGTGAGTCTTGGGCGCACGGTGCAGGGAGGATGGGGAGGGGCAGGCCCGTGTGCGTCTCTGGCTTGAAGCTGTGTTGGTTGCTGATCTTGCCTTGGCCTTGGCCAGCCTTTTCTCTCCATTGGCTGTTGCTTGCTACACTTGTCTTGGCCCGTGTCCTGAGGGCAATCACAGAACGGTGTGTGTGTGTGAGTGGATGTATGGATGTGTGATGGATGTATATGTATTATGTGTATATGTGTGCATGTCAGTATGTGTGTATGTTTGTATGTGTGTGTCCCCATGTCTGTATATCTGCCTATGTATATATGCATGTGTGTCCCTGTGTGATATATGTATGTGTGTGTGTGTGTCTGTGTATATGTGTCTGTCCTGGTTTGTGTCTGTATGTGTATGTGTGTCTGTGCATGTGTTAATATATGTGTGCGACGTATGACGTATGTACATGTGTGTCTGTGTGTATTTATATGTGTGTATCCCCATGTGTGTTTTATGTCTGTGTGTGTGTCCAAGTATCTGTATGTGTGTCTGTATGTGTTTACATGCATGTCTGTTTGTGTGTTTGTGTCCATGTGTGTCTGGATGTGTGTATATATGTGTGTGTCCATGTGTATCTATCTTATTTTTGTTTTGTTTTGTTTTTTGAGACAGAGTCTCACTCTGTCGCCCAGGCTGGAGTGCAGTGGCGCAATCTTGGCTCACCACAACATCTGCCTCCTCTGTTCTAGCAACTCATCTGCCTCAACCACCCAAGTAACTGAGACTACAGGCACGCGCCACCATGCCCAGCTACTTTTTGCATTTTTTAGTAGAGACAGGGTCTCACCATATTGGCCAGGCTGGTCTCGAGCTCCTGACCTCATGATCTGCCTGCCTCGGCCCAAAGTGCTGGGATTACAGTCGTGAGCCACCACGCCTGGCCGCATCTATATGTGTTTATGTGTATGTCTGTGTCTGTGTGTATGTTTGTGCATGCATGTCTGTGTGTGTGTGTGTGTGTGTGCATGAGTGTGCCATGTGTGTTTTTGTATGTGTCTGTGTGTGTGTGTGTGTGTGTGTGTGTGTGTGTGAGAGAGAGAGAGGGTACTCACTACAAAGAAACAGGAGAAGCTGGTACACTTTGCCTATGTCAGGATGCCACTCTCAACTCAGCAGAAGAACCTTTGACCCATTGTTTTTGATTTTTTACTATGAAAATAAATGAGTTTTCCTGACTGAATTTGTTTTGTTTTGTTTTGTTTTTTTGAGACGGAGTCTAACTCTGTTGCCCAGGCCAGAGCACAGTGGCACAATCTCGGCTCACTGCAAGCTCCACGTCCTGGGTTCACGCCATTCCCCTGCCTCAGCCTCCTGAGTAGCTGGGACTACAGGTGCCTGCCACCACACCCAGCTAATTTTTCTGTATTTTTTTTTAGTAGATACAGGGTTTCACGGTATTAGCCAGGATGGTCTCAATCTCCCAACCTCATGATCTCCCCGCCTCGGCCTCCCAAAGTGCTGGGATTACAGGCGCGAGCCACCGCGCCCGGCCTTTTTTTTTGGAGATGGAATCTCCCTCTGTCACCCAGTCTGGAGTGCAGTGGAGTGATCTTGGCTTACTACAGCCTCTACTTCCTGGGTTCAAGAGATTCTCCTGCCTCAGTCTCCCAAGTAACTGGGACTACAGGTGCAGGCCAACATGTCTGGCTAATTTTTTTATATTTTTAGTGCAGATGGGGTTTCACGATGTTGGCCAGGCTGGTCTTGAACTCCTGACCTCAAGTGACCCGCTTGCGTCGGCCTCCCAAAGTACTGGGATGAGCCATCACGCCCGGACTGATTTAACTTCTAATGAGACAATTCTCCATGAAACTATGCTCAGTTATGATATTATATTTTTTCTCAACAAGAAGTTTTTCTGTAGTTACATTTCAGCTGAAAACTTTAATTACAACTTCCTTCACCTGAAATGATTTCTACTTTCCTACAACCTAGTGGAGGATGATTGGACGGCACCAATCATGAAGGACCTGAGTACTCATTCATTCATTCATTCAGCCAATAGTAGTGAGCCTACTAGACTCCAGATGGTTTTGTAGGTGTTGGAGAGACATGGCTGTGCAGAAAAAATACAAAATCCCTGTCCTTATAGACCTTACAGTCCCGTGGGTGCAGATAGACCCTGGGTAACATTAACACATGCTATGGAGAAAACCGAAGCCAAAGGGCTAGGGATTGGCTGGATGGGGCACAGTCTGCAACTTAAAAGGGGATCTCCAGGAACTCCTCAGGGAGGAGATGACATTTTAGCAAATACTTGAAGGGTGGGAGGGGTCAGGTCCACAGGAATCTCAGGGAAGAGCTTCCTGAGCAGCGTAAACAGTCAGTGCAAAGGCCCCAGGGGAGTGACGAGGGAGCAAGGGCAAGGGGGCCACTGCTGCCAGAGCAAAGAGGGGGCTCAACCCATCTGCCTTCTAGTTTCAAGTAGGGGGCATTTGCCTTAGAAAGCAGGCTTAAGAAAATGCCGCCTGACCTCAGAAACCTGTACTTTACGTCACCTGAGAGGCCACTGTCGGACCATGGTTTGGGAAGGCCCAGAGTAGGGAAGCCCCGTGCACAGGTGGACCCAGTGGGTGCTTGCTTTCCTGTTACCACCCACAAGAGTACAAAAGCTCTTCCCAGCCAAAGGCTCTGCTATTCCTGCTGGTGATTCTCTGGGGCTAAAGCAGAACCCCTCTATAAATCCCTGAGTGAGTAGAAGGAATTCCTAGGAAGTGGAGGCATCCTAGGGGACTTGCCAGGATTCCTCCACCTCTAGGAGGCGTAGGGGCACGAGCTGGAGCAACGGGGGCCTGCACAGGGAGTGTGGGCGGAGTGGGTGATGGCTACTCACCTAGGACGTATGTGCCTCCTGCCACTGATGGAAAAGGTGGGCATTCAGGGTGAACGTATCATTGTTTTCCAACCCAGACAAGAAGCTGGGAAGTGAGAGCCTGGATGAGTGGTCCGCAGAGTGGCTTTCTTCCCAGGTACAGCCTCTGACAACTTCCTAGCAAATTTTAAGGTGGGTTTAATGTCCCACTCCCTCTGGACTCAGCCTTGGGATGCTAGAGGGGGAGGGGTGAAAGCAGAATGGAATATCCCAGTCAGCAGGGTAGCACGAAAGGCTCTGTGAAGGCTTAAGGGAGAGAGGAGAGCACCTTTGAATACTAAAGCCCAAGGTCACCTATAACTAACTGTCCAAAGGGTCATTGATGAAACAGCTGGAGGCAGAGGGAGAGTGAATTCTTAGGACACCTCGTGCAAAGCTGCTGACCCCCAGCACAGGGAAAGGTAGAGCAGGCCAGGTGGGATCCCAGGCTGGGCGACCTGGTGGGGATCAAGACAGAGCTCTGAGACCAACCTGACAGTTAGACTTGGCACTGGCTTCCGGAGGCCAGGTGTCTGCCTGAAAAAAGACAAAGGGAAAACTTTGAAAGTCGTAACCTCATTCGACGTTGTTCAAGAAAGACCGTGCTTAGAGCCATCCGACAAGAACCAGCTGAGTAGATAATCGCAGCAGATGTAATTGCTGTGGATGCTTTTAGAGTCCCTTGGAGTAATCCTCATAGTCTCTTAATTCCAGGCTTCCAGATGTGGAGCCTCAGTGACGAAGAGACTTGTTCTTGTCCACAGCAAAGTTTGGTCGAAAAGCAGATTTAGAATGCAGAATTCTTAACGCCTACACGAGCATTCACATTTCCCTGGGACCATGTTGTTTCTCTAGAGGGGAGGAGGATTGTGGCATCTGCATTGACACCCGCTCCTGTGGGCACTCAGAGAACTTAGCTGCTGCATTTGTGGAACGGAATAAAGGTTCCATGTAACCCTTCCCCGCCATTCCCCAAAGCCTTTCCACAGATGGCACAGCAGAAGTTACTTCCTGCTGGAGAATTTGGGGTTCTCAGATTTGAGACTGTCATGATAATCAGTCTGACTGGAACAGAATGTGCCCAGTTACTGTGGGAGACAGAGACAGTCACACACCTGCCTATCTGCAGGGCAGAGTTTGGGCATTTTCAGCTGCTCTGTGTGTACTGAAGAGTTAAAAAAATGAAAAGACGGCCAAATAGTTATCACCAAAAGGAGGCCGTCAGTCATTGCTCGTGAACACAGTCTAAACACAGTTCAGGCATGTTTAGTTCGTGTGTTTTTCCCCAGCACACAGCACATCAGAAGCAGGTAGGAGAAGGGAAGTAGTAATGCACAGTGGAAGCCTGAGTACCAGGGGGAGCTCTCCCTTCCATGCAGGTATTCCCAGTGTGCTCCCTGTATCGGCAGCCTCAGCATCACCTGGACCTTATTAGGACTCCAAATTCTCAGGCCCTTCACCCCAGACCAACCTACCAAGCTAGAATGCCCAGGTAATTCCATTGCCCGCTCAAGCAGGTGAAACAGCCTCACAGCCTGCAGGTCACAGTGTGGCTGGGGCTGTCTTCTGATTCTACACACACACTGGGAGCGGAAGTGAGACGGTCGAGGCAGAATGCAAACGTTCAGGGGCTTTCGTGTCTCTGAGATCTAAAACCATGTAGCATTGTGCACTTCTCCACTCTGTTCGCTCTGAGTTCACAGAAATGTGTATTTCTAGGTGCACTGAGAGCACATCCCGAGTGTGTGTGTCCATGGGTGTTGAATTTCTAGGTGCACTGAGTGTACATCCCGAGTGTGTGTATCTGTGGGTGTTGAGATGGGTGTGTTTTCAGACCTGCCGTCTTCCCGTAACTGACTTTGTGAGATTGGGCAAATGACATAACCTCTCTGAACCTCACTTCCCACACATCAGTTAAAAACCAAGGCTGATTTCTCTGGCCCTTCTCCAGTTCTGAAGTACTCCAGCCTTGTGGTGGTGTCTTAGCTTAACGATATGAGAAGAAATTGGGGCGGGGGAAAGTGAGGCTGCCCATAGTTACGTAGCCCTAGACGATATATAAGCATGCATATATAATATGAATTAGAATGTATATTGACATTCTATATGCCATCATATAGTTTATATTATATAGTATATATAATATACATGTGATATATAATATTGAACAATATTTCCCAACATTAAATTAGCCAGCAGATGGTTAGCTTTGCAATTAGGGAGATTTATTTCACCACCTGCAAGGGGCTTCAGGAAGGGTCACATTCAGTACTGTCACTTTGAAATCCTAATGACCCCGCAACCTAAAGGTTAGACTCTGATACCAGGAAAAGTAAGCTGTTCTCTACACACATTGATTTCTTTTCCATTGTCATAAAACAGTAACAAATCAAGGAAAGAAAACCCCATATTTTTATATCCAGATTCATGCAGGGAGTATCCCATTGACTGGCCAACATCTCCTGAAATACAGATGTCCTTTCAAAATTGACTATATAAAATTCTTATATGCTTTTAGAAGAACCACAATTTTATACGTGTATATACGATATATATATATATATCTTTTTTGTATTATGCTTTTGCATAGATTTGGCTCAATGGCGCATCATGACAGTCTTCTGAGTATATACCTTCCCCATTTTTCTGCTGAGAATCTATCAGGAAAACTAGTAAACCCCTATCAGAAACGTAGACTAATATGTTGTTGACTGCCAGAAAATTCTTTATTCTCTCTAACCACAAATTTCCAAGAAATGGTGACAATTTAGCCTTATCTAGTTTCTTTAATGGAAGATCATATATTATATTTCTGTTACTTACAGCCACAGATCACAATGGTGTCTTTAAAAAGGCAGCTCAGTTATCAATGAGATATGCATACCTGCTCAGTTTAGTTTGTACAGCAGAAAAGTGAAAGCTGGTCTCACTATCCGTCACAAAATATAACATTTAAGACTGCCCTAGTGAGCAGCCAACCCCAAAAACAACAGAAATGCCTTTGGAATGAAGTAAAATTTAGCAAATGGCATTGACTTATTTGTATTACATATACTTTTTCACCTTTTTTGGATTTTTATGACTCTGCATACATAGTAAAATTCCAACCAAGTACTTTTCTTTTTTTCAAAAATGAGAAAATGGTAATAGAAGAATTTAAGACGCTTTTCAACTCTGCTTAAGATTAAGATGTCCCAGTGTGAAATCCTGACATGCCCACTACTTTAAGCACCGTCCTGTAAACATTCACAGTTGACTTCAAACATGCTGAAGAAGCCAAGCTGCCAGCATGCAGGTGTTCAGAGCTGCATCCCGGTTCTACCCAAGGGCTTGACCCAGGGTTGAAGTCCCTGCTGCCCTCTAAAGCCCAGTACTCAGTGAGAAAGAAGAAAAGTGAATTGGATAGTAGACATTTTCCATACTCCTCTATTTCTAATTCAGGGGGCAAATGAGCCTTTTAATTGAACACAGATACAGGAAACTGAAGACATAAAGTATTCATTTTCCCCAGCTGGAAAGTTCATATCGGAAGTTCCTATATTTCACGCAAAATATTGCTATCTGGCACATGAGGTCTGATGGTTTCAGAAAGTAAGAATTAGATGTTCCTTTGATCTAGCTTGTAAGTGCATCCGAACCACACCTTGAATATGATAATGCTTCTCATTTCCCCTGTGCCTTGGTGTTACAGCTCTCCAGCACCACTGTGAGCCTGAGGGTCAAGACCCCCTACTAAGGCAGTAACGTTCCTACTTACTCCCAGGAACACACGTGGGGAGAGTAGAGTGGGCTCTTCCCCAATCCTCCAGCATTAAACTCAGCCCTGAGACTCCCAGGGCTTAGAAAACAGCTTAGACTGAAGAATTGTTTTCTCCGGGAGTTATGCCTGAACACTTCTGCTAAAGCAGACAGTCATCAGTTAATCTCTATAAATGACTACAATTTTGGCAGGTATCAGCTGGTATAGAAATTGCTCACAAGTTAAAGCTCTCATTTCTTAGTTTATGGTAATGAGGGGGACTAATTAAAACAAAAAACAAAGAAACAAACAAAAAAACCTCACGTTGTGCCTGACCACAGGACTGGCTTACCTGAAATGATGATTCCTGTTGGGTGTCTCCGTGGCACAGGTCCCCACGCTTGCTGGCTAAGAGAGACACAACTGGCAAGAGCCTTTCTTCCAAGGCTGATTGTGGACTCTACCACGTCAAGTGCTGTGTATTCAGAATGACCTCGCTCACATCACTCCCCTGTCCTTGAAACAGTGTTCTTCAAAAATGCCACTAAGTGCCCGAGGAATGTGAAGTTTTGAAATGAACACAAAACCTGCCAGCAGCCTTTGCCGACTGGCATTATTTCTGAGGCAGACAGCTCTCCACAACCATTTGTCCTGCCTTCTTCTTTCCCCTAACTCATAACGCCAGGCATTAGGTTGTGGTAGGAGGTTAAAGGGCTGAGTTATTATGTTTTGAATGGTTGTTCCATTGGAACTGTTTGTTTTTCTGCAAGAAAACTGCAGATTCTTCAGTTTGATCATCAGGAAGCCAAGGATCTATGGCAGAGATAAGAGGAGGGAGGAGCTAAGGCAGGCTTCATCCAGAGGCACTGAGTCACACCATGACTGACCAACACAGGGCGTTCTGGAAAAAAGACATTTTCATACTTCTGAGGGAAAGGGATGATGGGAGTTGCTCCAAGACCTGGCCCCATGGCCTTTCATCCACAAAGCCGGTGCTTAAAATACTCAGCCGAGAACAGGCCTCCCACATGTGTGCTGACCTGCGTGACTCAGGCTGTTTGCGTTCAAGTCCCCTGTTGTGGGCTGGAGCGCTGAATCAGAGTCCAGATTTGCCTTGGTGACACATGACAGGAGGGGGCGTTGCATTTGAACTACGCAAATATTATGCTTAAGTATTTTTCCTCATTTTGGAGCCAAACAGGTCTCGTTAATGATAAAATCACTGCAATATAGTGGGCCCTTTTTTTCTGGTCTGGAATTTGAGACAGTGTCAACTGTGCCAAGGGGCCTGGCAGCAGGAAGAAATGGCCAGCCATGGAGATTTACAGCCATAATGCAAGTTATACCATTTAATTTTATAATCGTAGCCATCGGGAGCTGGACTACAGTGCACTTCTCGTGGTCTGCTCTTACCCCAGGCTGTGGGAGTGGAATCAAGGGAGCCTCTTTCTAGTCTAGGATTGGGTCAGGGCACGTGAAAGAGCACTTTATGGGGGCAGCGGGCAGGCTGCTTCTCAGTCTGGCTTTGGGGACACTTGACAATAGGGAACAGGGGTTGTGCAATTGATCAAGGACTCTTTATTGGAACCATAAGGCTGAGGAAGCAGCAGGCCATTGTTTTTAACAGAGAAATGAATGGCCCAGGCCTCCTGTGGCTGCCTCCCTACCTTGGAGCCTCAGCTGTGCTTGACAGGACTGGCTCTGGTTTAAGGACATTTTGAGAAAACCATAGGCCCCAGTCCCCTGTGAGTGGCCTCTGCTTGCTGCTTCCTGGTGACAGTTGTTTTGGTGAAGAGCATGATGAGGACACTTGTTATCTGTATAGACACTGAGGGGCCCACCATCCCATCCCACCCGTCCTGAGCCCCCTGGGGAAGCTCACCAGATAGGCCGCAGCTACCCCTGGGCTCCAGGGGGCCTATTCTGCTGGGAATATTGGACAAGACACAGGCGAGGCCTTCCTGTCAACTCCTTCTTAAGGGTACACAGGGGAGTCGGCTTTGGGGAAGAAGGAATGCTTGTGAAAAGCCTGTGAGGAGAGGGAAAGGGAGAGGGGCTGAGGGGCTGAGGGGCTGAGGATGCCCTGCAGGTGCCTGGAAATCTGACCTCCCCAGGGGCTGGGGGTTTGCAGCCACGCCTCGTTTCCTCTTGGACGGAGCCCTGCCAATAAGCTGCAGGGCCCACTTTGCCGCCTCTAAAACCAGTCGGTGGTTGGGTTTGCAGTAAGGAACAGCCGTTCTGATGCCCCTGGGAGGCCACCTTTCCTGGCTGCCATAGCATAGCCCCTGGCATGTGGCCATGTGCCAACAATTAATGCACCTCTTTTCCTCCCGGCATCACCACCACCACCACCAAGTTCCGTATCCCACTGAGTTGTGCCCGTTGGAAGTGGGTGTAGAGGGTTGGGGAGGGTGCTGAGGCCCAGACTGGGGGAGCACTCTGTGGCCAGGGCAGTGAAAGGGGGCCCGTTCTGCTGAGAGGACAGTGGCCCCAAATTCCCACTGGCGGCTAGCCCAATGGGCAAATCTCTACCAAGTCTATGTTGGGGTGAGGGGAGAGAGGGGAAAGACAAGAAAAGCCCCAATTTTAGGAAATCCACAATACTTTTTCTGATCTCTTCCCTCCCTCCTTCCCTGCCTCCCTTCCCTCTTCCCATCCCCTCCCTTCCCTGCTCCCCACAATAGGACATCGGCAGAAACTAGATGATCAGACCAAGCCCGGGAGCTTGTCCTTTTCCGAGCGGCTCAGTGAACTGGAGCAGCTGCGGCGCACAGCCATGAGGGTCAGCCCACACCACCCAGCCCCCACGCCCAACCCTCGTGCCTCCCTGAACCACTCCACTGCCTTTAACCCTCAGCCTCAGAGTCAGATGCAGGGTAAGTACCAGACGGAGCCCACCACCCACAGCTGGGTCCCATGTGCAAACCCCCTCCCAGACCCACTGGGGTTTCCCCTTGATGCTCAGAGAAAGGCCTCGAACCAACAGCACCACCTGGGAGCTGTTGGAAATGCAGAGTCTTGGGCCCCACCCCAGACCCACCAAGTCAGATCTGCCTTGCAACCAGATCCCCACAAGGAAAAGCACTGCTACAGAGGATACGAGGAGCTCTGGGTATGGATATCCATATTGGATAGATAGCTCTCTTGAATTTTTTAAGAGTTAGCTTTGACTATGCTATTTTTTTACCTACCCATTAGACTTGCACACACACACACACACACACACACACACACACACACGTCAAGCAAGGTGAAGATGGGGATGTTTCAAGTTCTCGCTATTGCCAGATTATTTGTGGGTTTTGTATCTAGTGTTTTTTTGTTATTATTATTAAGAAATAGTAGAAATATATGGATGCCATCACATCAAGGGTGTTATTTGCATATCAATATAGAATGCAGGTCCCCCTATCCCATGGGGCTAGCTGGCAATTATTAAAGCACTGTAAGATGCAACAATTGCCTGAGGCCCACTGTGCCCAATTAGATAATACAAGAAGTTCATTTACACTGTAGAACCAGTGACGTCAATGACTGTTTGCTCTGTGATACCGTTTCAGAAATCCAAAATGCAGACTTTTCTCTGTGCCATGCAGGATGCAGCTGTGTGTGATATGGTTTACAGTGATATTTCTTTCTCAAAGTAGCAGGCTTGTTAAGGAAAAGATAAGCAACACATCTGGGGGAAAGGGCAGGTGGCCAGCAATCGATGTGGGAGCTCCTTGCCCCTCTCGGACAGCAGGAATTAGCTTCCCCAGGCATTTTCTGTATGTGAGTTGTATTATGGGATGGACAAATATCATCTGTTCTTTTGGGTGTCCAGGCCAATAGCTCTCTATTTTGGGTTAAAACATGGGTTCTCCAAAGGCATGCCCACTGTCTCCCATAGAGCTTGACAGCCCATGCCATTCGCTCTCAGTTAGGTTTCTGGGGGAGGCTCTTTTACTGAATTGGAAAATTTCCAAATAAATCTTCCAAGAAGATAGTATGCACACAGCTAAGTGGCCTATCTGTGGAGTAACCCTTCTGTAAACAAACAGAAACCTAAAGCTTGATGTTTTGGGGGGCTGCCTGTCATCTATAGGTTCATTTGGGTGTATTCAGGAAGAGGATCCATGAAACCATTGGTTTCCTGTTACATAATAATCATTAATAATGACTTAAAATGTGTACATTGATTTTTTTAAATTCCAAAATACAAGCATATGTGGCAAATTAAGTCAAATGGTTTGTTAAGTGAGCGAGATGGGCTTGGGGCGAAACAATACTTTGCTTCCAAAGAGGATACAGCTCTCAAGGAGATTCTTTCATCTTGCCTTTAAGGTCATTTAAGCTAATTCTCATCATCTATTCATGTGTAAAATCGAAAGGAAGACTGTTTTCTTAGTCTCTCATTGCCTAAGTGGCCATTTATACTACTAGGTTGATGAAGGGATTTGCCTTTTTCTGCTGATATGGGAACAGAAAGTCTGAGCATTTTTTTTTTTTTTTGAGACAGAGTCTCGCTTAGTCGGCCAGGCTGGAGTGCAGTGGCACAATCTCGGCTCACTGCAAGCTCCACCTCCCGGGTTCACGCCATTCTCCTGCCTCAGCCTCCCGAGTAGTTGGGACTACAGGCGCCCGCCGCCTCGCCCGGCTAATTTTTTGCATTTTTTTTTTTAGTAGAGACGGGGTTTCACCGTGTTAGCCAGGATGGTCTCGATCTCCTGACTTCGTGATCCGCCCGCCTCGGCTTCCCAAAGTGCTGGGATTACAGGCGTGAGCCACCGCGCCCGGCCAAGTCTGAGCATTTTTAAAGGCAATGGAAAATTCAGCCCCATGGGGGAAAATCGAAATTGTCACCATTGAGTTGCTCTGTTTTTTGGTGAAGTGTGAATCTAATCTGATTTCCTTCTTCATCAGATACGCCTCTTTAACAACAACAAAAAAAATGGGGGCAAGTTGCGCATTGAATTCTCATCCTGAAGTTCCTGGGCAAAAGCATTATTGTGGACCATGTGATGGGCATTCGTCAGCTCTTTGGAGTCCTATATGCTTAGCAGAGGATCAGGTTTAACACTAAGCATCGCCCCTGTTTTGTTCCTCATGAAAACTTTTTACTTCTGCAACATTGAAGAAATCATAACTCCCTTTTAGGGTTCCCTAGGGGCTTGGTTGCTACTCTGAAGAATGTGTGAACTATATTGCTTGTGTTCTTTCCTTCCAAAATATGAATTTGATATTTAGTACTTCACTTGTAAAATTTTAGGAGCAACTTTTGAAAAATAAGTATCCAGAATATTTTCATGTGAAACAACTTTTCCTTTTCCTTTTGTTGTTTCTTTCCTATAAGAAAACGCTGTTTTCCACTAATCATGTTTTGAGTAGACCCTTGGGCTCTTTCTCTTGAAATTGGAAAGTTAACAGGCGTAATATGCAAGTGTTGTTCAGCCAAGACCTTCAGTTTGTTCTTGACATGTAGGAAAATGCTTATTTTCCAGGCTCAGCCCTGAAGTTTCTATGTTATATTTACAAAGATACTTTAAGAAATACAGCATGTGTTTATGGCTGTCTTTGAAATGGCAGTGGTAGTATTCAGAAAAATATCCAATTTGTCAGAGCAGTTCTACAGCGGTGCTGTCCAGGAGCATGAATGTTTTTCAGCTTTACAGAAATGTCAGTAACTGGGGGTTTGGAGAGCTTGCTGGGATTTATAGAGAGGCTCAGGAACCCTACCTTGCTAGGACTTTATTGGAAGGGTTATGCCAGCTCCTCTAACTCTGTCAGCAAGAAAATGCTGATATAGAATAGCACCAATACTTACCTAGAATCACATGTACTGGAGGGTCACTCAAAATAGACATCTCAAATTATCTGAAGCACGGTGCAGATTGAGAGGGGGCAGGTTGCCATGCCACTAAACCACTGTTTATTTGTTGAGGTCTTAACTATTAAAGGGCTGAGGTTTATTTCAACTTCCTATTTTACCAGGTCTTAAACTTGACTAGAAAGCCATTTTGTCATGAGTAGACCCTTGGGCTACACGTTTCTTCCAGTCAAGACACCATCGTTAACTTCTATGACCCAAGTCTTAGAATTCTTTTTTAATTTATTTCAAAAGATAGAACAGGGCAGATTCTAGAGCTGGTGGTACTGATGCCTGTTCAGTCACAACTCTCACCTAGAGAGGGGTTTGGGCAACCCAAGTGAGTGATTTTAAAATTTCACCCCTGATTGACCAAATATGATGTATCACATTTAAGGTGTCGTAATTTCCTCCTTTCTGGGAATATGAGGATGGAGTAATAGATGCTGGTACAGAAAACTGAAACCTAGATAAACTAGGAAGCCCATT